GTCGCTTGTCGGGCGACATTGGCGCAACCTCACAAATTTGGCGGCAAAACACCGAATTCCTTATAGCATGATCAGCAACGGCAAGCGCCGCCGCGCGGCCAGCGACGACAGCGATGAGGAGCAAAAGACGCAGCGCACAGTCGACGTGGATGAAGAGGATGAGGAAGAGGTGCCCCCACGCCGCCCAAAGCAGCGCACAGCCCCTCCCGGCCGCAATCGCAAGGGTTTTCTAGAGAACTCGCAGCTGACGGAGAAGGATCGACGCCAAGTGCGCTACAAGGAGCGCGAACTACTGCAGAGTATCAAGGAGAACGCCAATGATTTAGCCAAGCTCATGAGCGACACGTTCGACACGCACACGCAGGAACTGGACCAGATGTACGACAATGTGTGCTACCCTCGCGAGGCCAATCTGGACGCCAGTAACCTGGACGAACTCAATGTGGCGGTGGCTAAACAGTCACAGGCACTGGGCTCCAGCGATCTCACCAAGGTCCCATAGATTTGTTGTTGTTTTTTTATTGCAGAGGGTTTTATAATGTTTTTTATTTTTGCAGTATGACACGACGGATTTTATCCGTGCAACGCAGAATGCGTGTACTATGGAGTCGCAGAACGGCGAATTTGATTGGAATACACTGGGAAATGCAGCTGGAGCCTGTTTTCGATCCGTCCCGGAGAGTAGTTTCCTGTACGTTGTGAAGGGGAATTTGGGGTGATTACAGTGCTAATTAATTTTCCTAGGTTTGGCTTGATGAATACGGAGGTGGTGCGCAAGGAGAGGAAGAAAGCGAGACGAGCACAGGAAGATGTGAATGCACAGGAAGCGCAGCCAACGGAGTATACCAATAAGGTTCGCGGTTTTATGAGTATTTTTTTATGAAGATTTGGGTTAATGGTGAAGCTTGGTGGATTTTTGCATTGTAGAAAGACCGCAAGGACGCACAGGCTCGGCGACTGGAGATCCTACAGACCAAATTGATGGAAGGAGAACGCGTTAAGCCGCTTTTTGACATGGTTGTTAACCCCAAGAGCTTCACGCAGGTGCGTAAATGGTGTCGTCTTACCCAAATCTGGCTTGTGATATCTTACCCATCATGTGACGCTCAGACGGTGGAAAACCTGTTCGACACATCGTTCCTCGTGCGTAATAACTCTGCTGAGATCGGTATCGACGATGGATCTGGCCTTCCTTACCTAAGTTAGTACTTGCTGCATCTTGTTGAATGTGTTATGGCTCTGTTGACTAAAAACTGGACTAACATTATTTTCTAACAACGACAGAGAATCAAGAAGGACTTAATGAAGCTAACCTCCCGCCGTCGACTCAGAGCATCATCAGCATCACACCAGCACAATGGGAGGAACTCGCGCGTGTTACAGGACGAGAGGAACCTCTGCTTGGCCATCGATCGTAGTCATTACGAATGCGTGGCGATGTAAAGCCAGATGATGGTATTGGTATTCTAAACTACGATTTTTTTTTTCGTTTTTACCATGTTTTGTTGATGAATATTAATTCGTTTTGGTATGTGCCAGCTCAGACTCAAATGTCATCGACGCATAAGGGCTGGCGACTTTAAACGATTGTGTCGCGTTCTGTGCAGAACAATGAGTGAATACTCTGCTTAATGGCAGCTGTTGTGGACTGTAGTGGCGCTTTCTTGCTGGCTAGTTGACTCCACATCAATGACCGTCTCCGTTTCAGACAGACTGGACGAACCGGTTGTGTTGATGGTGTCAAGCACGTCGGCTAGGTCTTGACCTGCCGTGGTCGGGGGAGCAGTGTAGTAGCCGGTATCAATCGGGGCATCCGTGACAGTGGCGGATTCCTCCACCGTGGGTGAACTCGTCTCGGGGGTGATAGTCAACGTATCCAGGCCATTAGGAAGACTCGCAGCGGTGACTTCTATAGTCGACCCTGAAGAACTTTTGCTGTACGTATCCGTAGTAACGGTAGTGCTTTCACTGGAACCTGAAGAAGACGCGACAGTGGCAGATCCGTCTTCAGATGCGCTGCTCACTGCGTAGGAGCCCTCGCCAGATACGCCAGAGCCACCAGTTGAGCTAGAATTTGAAGTACTATCCAGCGTTGTCGAACCATCCCATGACACAGATCCTGAAGCACTACCGGACGCTGTCTCTGACGCAGAAGCACTTGCTGAAGTGCTTGTCGATGCACTTTCAGAGGTGCTGGTCGAAGCTCCTTTAGAGGTGCTGGTCGAAGCGCCTTCAGGGGCACCACAAGCCACGGACATATCAAGCAGTTCCTTCACATTGGCGTAGCTCAGACCTGTGCTGGTGACCGTATTCTCATCAGGTTTGGCCGTCGGGAACCATAGGAAGTCCGGGTGGTCTGTTTTCGAGCGTCCCACCCACTCGCCGCCGATAACTGCGTAGTTTGCGTCCAACTCGAGCAAATATTCATAGTCATTCGAGACCGTGTACGTGTCCACCTTGTCGGATGAAGCAAGTGGACCGTCAGCGTACGCCTCGATGATCCAGCTTACAGTAGTCTTAACGTACGCGAGATACACCATCTCGGCGTTAAACGGGTATGTACCCGTGTTGAAATACTGCTGCGATGCCTGTGCGTTGTCCATCAGCTCCATAGTCTGCACCTTATACGACCGCACAGGTTGGTTCCAGACTTGAGCTCCTGCCGTGACGTCTAGAATGAACGACTGCTTGTGTTTACCCATGATGTTAGTGATGGCGAGGTGGAAGAAACCGGCACCTAAATCACGCCGTGCAGCGCTCGTATAGCGTCCGTACTGGTCGGTACTGACCGGCGTGTCAGGGCCGTTGAACCGTGCACCGGTGAAGACGGTCGGGATAGCCGAGCCGTCATAGACTTCCGTCAGTAGAGCCTTAATATCCATGGCATGGAACGTCTGTCCATTCTTCACTACATCGCACTTTGGCTCGTTCTCGAGGATAGCAGCGGGCGCCCAGGCGTGGCAAATGCCGTACCAGGTCGCGATACAGTAGCCACTGGAGGCATCTTTGCGTATGCTGCACACACTCCCGTCATTACGGGACGTGCAGTCCGCGTCGGTAGTGCATTTCGTGTTGTTGGCGTATGCGTCGATGCCGTTTCCAGCCGAAATCTTGTTCATTAAATCAACGGGATCGAGTCCGAACGCTTCGGCGTACTTCGCGCTGGCACTCTTCTCACCTGATTTCCAGATGACGTTGATACTGTCCTGGTACGCGGGCCAGTAGCTACCTGGCCACGGAGTAGTTGGCGCAGATGCAGAAGAGTACTGCTCCTTTAGCGTCGTGAAGTCCATTTCCAGACTCTCGCCGAAATACGTCTCCAGATCCGTGATGTCCGAGCTGGGTGCATCTTCCATTCGACGCAATTTACGCCCGGCTGGTCCGAATTCCGAGGCCTTGCACTGGTCAACTGGATATTCGACAGGTACGGCGCCGTTGTAATCCTTCATGACTGCTGGGTGATCATTAGTCAAAGGCACATCAGCTCCCGTTGGCATGTAAGCGTTGCAGTTCAGAGATGTCGCTTGAGTAAGTTCTACTGCAGCGGCAGCGATCACGACCCCGAGCGCGACGGCGTGTACGGTTTTCACCATGACTTTGGATCTGCTTGGAACGCTACGCTGTTGGTAGATAAGGTAACTTTCCAACGAGTTGGAAAATTGGAGAATGAGTTTCAGAGTCGAGGAGGCAGCTTTGCGATGCAGTCAGAGCTTCAGTTATCGATGGCAACGCCTGGTATCAAGTCCAGCGTAGCGCAACCACATGGCTAGATTGAAACGATGAAAGTTCGATGTCTGGATACATGATCTTGAAGTCGAGACGATCTTAGGTGCTGGTAGTCAAAAGTTGTGGCTAAAGATTTTCTGTAATACGAGGTTCACGCCTTCAAAATTTGCAAGTGTTTCATTCTCACTTTTGATAGCTGGCAAACACTAGGACTATCTACTATGACTCAGGGTTTCCATGAGAGGACGCTGCTTCTGCTTCTCATGGCGGAAACGGTTTGCGAAGTTTGCGGGATCGCGAAAGCACTCTGCCGCATAAAAAAAATAACGGCATATGCATTGGAGAACCTTATTGACGATCAGTTATTATCCGCATGCGGTGTTGGTGGACATTCGTGGGCGCTGATGTGGGCAGTTTCTTCGGCAACCCGGCTACAGAACTGCTCACGTGATGGAACGAGGCTGCTCTTCCGCTCACCACGACTCGACTCACCAGCGTGGGTATTCGGTGAGCCAAAAGCGTTGCATATCCGCGCTGCCATTCGCGAGCGCTACTCGTTGCTGCCGTATATTTCCACGCTCTTCCACACGTGTTATGCCCGCGGTATGCCATCTTCAGTGAGGAGGACCAGTATGTGCTGGGCGACGCTCTACTAGTGAAACGGATAGATCGTTGAGGAGGGCGTGAAGCCACACATGTTCCTCCCATCCGAGAATGCCGAAACTAAGACTGTGTGGTGAGGTGACGGACGGATACAAGCGTTTCTTCGGTGGCAAGACGTACAAGAACGTGCCGGTACCGCTGGACGCCATCCCAGTGTCCATCGAGGCGGCACTATCCTGCCGCGTAAGCAGCGTGTGCGTCGCAGCTTGGAGCTGATGCGTGACGATCCTCTGACGTTGGTGGTGCTGCTGGACTAGTACTGAGGCTCGCGGCGAGCTGTACATGGACGACGAGCGTTCGCTGGCTGCTGAGCTGGAGGGTGAGGGCACGGTGGTGACGTTCCACCAGACGAAGGAGGGACTGCGGCCAAGTGCGCTACAAGGAGCGCGAACTACTGCAGAGTATCAAGGAGAACGCCAATGATTTAGCCAAGCTCATGAGCGACACGTTCGACACGCAC